GAGTCCCGTATTGTGTCTATGGCGCGACGGAACAGTTCTCGCTACTCTCTTCTTCTTCTTCTCCTTCTCGCTCTCTCTACACCCACTATTCATCTCTTTCTCTCTCTTTCTCTCTCTCTCTCTCTCTCTCTCTCTCTTTCTCTCTTTCTCATTCTCTTGACTCTGGAGTTAACGAGAGAGGAGTTCCGTTCTAGAGTTATATTCTCGCGTTAGTCCATAGTTCGTAGCATCTGCCTGGATGCTGCTGCTAAATCCTCCGAAAATCCCCATTGAAATCCTCCACGCGATTCTCCATGGGGAGCATATAATGGCCTGTAATAACTTTAAAAGCCGCCGATATTAATCTCGCGAATAAATCTCTTCACCTGAGGAGAGACCTGTCGTCGTCGTCGTTGGTTGATTTGCGAAAAAGTTGGAGGAAGAGAGGAAGGGAGGAAGGGTGACCGGGTTAGAAAAAAAGATGAGATATTAATTATTAACGTGGCATCGAATTAAACTAATTCGAAGAATATATTGACCTATATAAATAATACTTGGGTAGATAACGATTCATGGAAAAACATACGTGCTATAACACTATATTATCTCGTATCGTTTCTGTACTTTATAAATGTTAAGAAAGGCGCGTTCCCGTTACGCTCGAAGGACACTCCTTTCGAAAGCGGACCGTATAAATGGCGATTAAATCCGAAGAAATTAAGCTCCGACGCTCTCCGTTGGAGAGAAAATTTAAATCCTCTTCTAACACCGACTGAAACCTCCTATTTCTCCTTCCATTTTCTCTCCCTCTCTCTCTGTCTCTCTCTCTCTCTCTCTTCTTCTTTCCCTTGGAGAAAGCATCGCGTTGAGAAATGCGATAAAGTTCGCGTAGAGGTAATTTGAGTATAAAGTTTTATTCGCAATAATTTAGTTCGGAGGGAGGGGTGAATGAGAAAGAGAGAGAGAGGGTAGCAGTGGAAGAAGAGGGTGGCGGATAAGGACGAACATAGGTAACTTTACCTACGTATATAGGTGTATATGTACTATATACTACATATATATATATATATAGAGAGAGAGAGAGAGGTGTGCTGCTCGCCTTTTCGTTCTTCCCTCTGTGAAGCGGCGCACGAGGAGAGGAACACAGAAGCGCGGGTCATATATTTGATGGGATACTTGGCATAAAGTCGCGCATAAAAGTAATGCCAACATTAAAGTTTGTGGTTCCAGAGTCATACCACGGCCGTATCCTCCTCTTCTTCTTCGTCGTCGTCGTCGTCGTCGCCGTCGTCGTCGTTGGGCCGCCATCATGGTAGCTTACTCCAATGGTTTCTAACTTGTAAGCTTCACGCGTTTGTTCGTCGAAAGAACGACCCAACGAACTACTTCGTACCTATACCTTTTCGTCGTTATATTCGTCAAGACACACCGGAATAAGAATCTAAGATTTTATGGATATAGAGAAAAAGAGAGAAGAAAAGTTATATTTATATATGCAATAATTTCGTAAGATGTGGTCAAAGCATGATTAAAAAAGAAAAACTCGGCGAATAAAATAGTATGCTATTTTTATATCTTTATAAAAAAAAAACCACACCGTAGTACATATGACTATAAAGAAATATGATAAAAAAAAAAAGAAAAAAAAAAGCAATTTCACGATAAACTATACGAACTAATAATGTAAAGTAAAATAATGTATGCGAGGATCTGAGAGTATGATCTTTATGTTGTATTTCCATCTCTCTTTCTCTCTATCTTCGAAAGTTATCGTTCGATGGATCGACTTGGCCTCAGTCCCGATAAAGTAACGCGACGATATCGACGTTACGTTGGAATACGAGCGGATACGAGCGTAGTATAGTACGACCGGCCGGTGATTTAAATCAGCTTTCGGAGTCGTTTAAAAACGGCGACGTCGAAAATGGCTTCTAGAAATGGATACTCTCGATGGTAAATCGCGTCTCTCGTCGTCGTATAGTTGAAATAATAACCGACCAAGTACCACTAGAAGGTATCCTCAACTATTTTTCATTCGAACATTCTATCTCGTTATATTATTATTTCTTTTTGATTTTGAAGAACCCATTGAAAAACGATCAAGAACAAAGGATAAGGATAAAGGATAGGTAAGAGGATCATAGGGGTGGATCGAAACGCTTAAAGAAAAGTCGAAGAGTTTATTCGGAGTGGCCGTTTGGGAACGATCGTTTGGCGCCAGGGGAAAAATGGCTTCTTCCTACCACGTGCCACCCCCGACACGCTTCACCCTCATAATTCTACTCGTCCTTCGTCCGCGTCTACGGTACCGAATAGGCGTCACCTACGACTTTTCTTTGAATCCTCTTCGATCCTCTTCTCAAACGCCTGCCTGCCTGCCTTTGTAAATTTTCCGGGTGCAGCACATGCAAGAATCTGATTTTAAGAGCAAAATTAATCTTACATTCGATTCGGTATTCGTTGCTTACAATCGGAAAAGAACAAAAAAATAATAAGATACTTAGAAGACGTTTATTCGTTCGTTTGCCACGAGATCCGGAACGCGTCACTTGTCGCCGAATAAAATTGAACTCGATTAAAGTCGTGGCTCGTTCCCTCTCGTGACTCCGAATTTTCTCTCTTTCCCAAAGAACGAAAGAGAAAGAGAGAGAGAGAGAGAGAGAAGAAGAAAGCATTAAAGTGCACGGAATTCGACTCGGAATCCTGAGGCAAGGTGCAACGTTACGGGCCATAGACCGCAACAGGGGCGTAGATAAAACCACGAGAGGGTGGTCCGTACGGAACAGAGACACTCAATGATTAGATGAAGTGCAAGAGGGCTGGAAAAAGAGAAGGATAGAGAGAGAAGCAAATCCTAACATTTCCTCTTCGTTTCCATCCACCCTTTCTCTTTCTCTTTCTCTTTTTTACGTTCTCCACCATTCTCTTCTCGATTTTCTCGACAAGGAGCAACCATAAAAGAACCCTTTGATCTTTCCTTGTATTCGCGAATCCGACTTTTCACGTCGATCGATATCCTCGAGTTGGAAAAAAGAAAGAAAAGAAGAGAAGAACCTTTAGATCGGCATGGCACGCAGCGCCAATTAACGCGAGCACGTTTCTGGATGGTAGGAGCAGTGATGATGATGACGGTGCCGATGACGGGGCCGATGATGACTGTGGTTTTGCTCGAAGTTCCTTAGCTTAAAGAAAACGCGCTTGTGTTTATTCCTTCCTTCTTCGTAGTCTCGTTTGCACCGCGGCACAGATAAAATCTCAAACTGTTACATGTTGTAAGTGAACGAGTCGTTGCACTTAATTAAATTGCCGATTATGCTCGTTATAGAACCGCGTGCGGTTAACTCGTTCTACGTATATTCTCGCGTTTTTACTTAGGTATGTACTTATGTAGGTGTCTACGCTCGTAGTTACGTTTCCTTAAGTTTCGCGAAAGACACGCGCCGCGATTTCACCACGGAAGACGAATGGAAACTAACTTCCAGCTGGAGAAACTGTGCAAAAAAAATAATATTAAATATGTATTTAATATGAAATTCGTATGTAAAAGTTGTATCGTTAATCAATGGTAATCGTCGAACAATTACGTAAACGTTAACGTTAATACAACTAATGTCGATGACGTATGGCGATAAGTCGGGTCGTTCTTGCATAACACCGTTTGATACCTTCTAATCACCCTAGAGCCTAACCTTGATAAGGATCGCTGCTAATTGTTGCGAATTGGCGAAGGTGGCGAACGAACGAGGGAGTTCGGGCAACAGGTGTCCTCTGATTGATCGCCGTTACTCGCACCCTCACGATTACCTAGCCCACAAACACATTCACGACAGAAACGAAGGACTTAATGTCGATCCATTACGAACTGGTCCATCCCGAACTGCGAATTCGTTGACCCACCACCGTTGACTAAAGCCAACGCAAAATCAGACGAAAAGAGAAAATGGAGTTGGTAATGCGAAACCCATTCAACGTATCGATGTCTCTCAGGACGCATTGAATTTTTTTATCGCTGATTTCCTCCGAACAATATCGATTCGCTTTTCCTAGTTCGTTTGTTCCTATTTTCAAGATAATCCGCTTTTATAATTATCATTCTTTTGCGTGTAACGATCGAGTAATAATTAATATACATATACCGAAAACATAAATAACAAGCAATTTAAACGATAAAAAATAATAAAGTAATTAGAAAGATCGTAATCTCGTAATAAAATATGAATATTCTATAATAAGAAAAAAGGTGTATCTCCGAATATAATTAGGTATATCTCGAACAAATAAGCGGATGGATATTTAAAAAAAAGAAAAAAATAATAAAACTCCGTTGGTTTCCGTATGTGGAAAGAGTTATATAAGCGTATAGAAGGGCGAAAGGGCGTAGCCGTCGGTCGTTGGCGCCTCGTATGAACTTCTTCCGCGAACCGAAACCGGTGTTGCGAGGAGCTAGCAGCACGCGGTGAGATTAACGGCGCTGCCGCGAATATTCACCGAGGTAATTGATACCGACGTCCAACCGGCTGACCATTCAAAACGCACGCACGATATATCACGGATAATAAGCGCGGGTTGCATGCTCCAAGAAGAAGAAGAAGAAGAAGAAGCCCAACCAACGGATCCGTAAAGTTCCTCGAGAACTCTTCTTCTCGTTTACGATTACACGCTGGTTCAGCAAAGTCACCTTAACTGACGATACATCGATAATTATCGTTCTTACGCATCGAAAGAGGACAATAATTAAACCGTTAATAATTATCCTTTAATTAGAATTATCGGTAAGAACTCGTTGAACGAATTAGAATATGATTTGTGTTAAGGCTATTTACTTGGACGCGTGTAATGTTATATTTGAAATTGTGAAGATTTCTCTTTGGAAGGAACCTATGTATTATTTAATATTGCATTATAGTACGGTTCGTGCGGCAAAATTCTCCCGATGGTGCACGAGCGTAAAGTATTGAGTTATCGGGTTAAGAGTCGAACCGAACCGAGTGTACCTACCGGCGACGACCTATTGTTCGCAGAATCGTGAGAAACAAGGCGGCGGAGAAGGCGAAGCACGCGCATCAGCAACAGCAGGCGCAGCAGCAGCAAGGTCAGCAGCAAGGTCAGCCAGGATCAGGTGGTTCCGTGTCGGTGATAGCCCATGCACCTGCAACGCCGACGGGTCATCCTGCGGCCACCGCTCCCAATGCCTACAGCATCAGTGGCATCCTCGGAATCCCCGCACACCATCAGGATCCAAACGGCAACAGCATCAAGAGAAAGCGAGCCGATGACGGTGAGTCACCCTTCTGCTTTATACGGAATTCCTATAACGATACTTTATCCTCGATTTCGAATCTGTACAAAATGTTTCTTCAATAATTTTATATCAGTACGGTAATTATGAATAATAAATGATAATTAATCTTTTGAATTTGTATACAACTAGTTAAATTTATTTTATTCGAAATTAACATATTTATCGTTTCACCGATTAACGGTTCCAATTAAAAAAAAATAAATATTCTAAATTTAATCTTTAGGAACACTTATATCAAGATAATCGAGAGAAATTCTCCGTAATAGTTTATTTTATTCTTTCGACGCGATAAAATCTCTCGAATGAGGGCGAACCTAGTGGCAAGGTGCTTCTACTTCGAGTGAACGAATAAAACTGTTTTCGAGAAGGGAATAGAGAGGAGAAAAGGGAGAGAGGGAGAGAGAGTACTTATTTACGAGCGATCGGGGTTACCGCGAGAGGAGAGGTTGTCGCGGCTCGAGTAAGATTAGCCACACACACGGCAAGGTTATCGGTCAAACGTCGCGCAGCACGTGCTGCGATTCATTCTGCTGTCATTGCGTGAATAACGCGGCCCGAAATATTCCTGACACGTGCCGTACACACGTGACCTACGACGATGCGCGTTCGCGGAAGCAAAAAAAGAGAGAGAGAGAGAGCGGAAGCAAAAAGAACGCATCGAATTTATAAACAATTCGTTATACTTCATTTAATAAGGAACCATTTTTGTATCTACCAGTTCAAACTTTTCGTAGTAAGAATATACACAGTATAGTAAACAAATTCAAATTCTTTTCACCCGTGGCTTTAAAGGGTTAATGTTTGATGCTTCTTTCCATAATTATTTTTCATTTAACACATTTTCTACAACAAAATTGATTATTCAGTTACATATAGAAACGTTAAGTCGAATTAAGTATTTTTTGAAATGCCAATTATACGAACAACCTAATTGAGTTTCGACGAAAAAGCTCAACAGCGAAGAAGTATACATATACAAGAAATATACATACGACTCGAACATATTCTAGGAATGGATTACGAACGACGTTTGCCGCGTACGACGCAAATGTATAAGTATGCACATATATATATCGATTCGTACCAATGCAGGAACCGGCGCCGATGATACACGAGTAATTCGATATAATCGAATTACGCGAGCGACGGATGCGGTCGCAAAAGTGGTTGCGTCCGCGGCGAAAGCACTCAATGTTTTGCGGCCGCGGAGGGTGTACGTATTAGATTATAAACTTCACAGACCGCAGCAGCTTCTATATCCTCGACCCAACGACACATTAGTTAGTCTCCCTCTTTCTCTCCTGGGATATTATTGGTCTCTGCATACACGCAAACGCTGGACTCTTATCGTTCCTTCCGAAATCATTCTATTCAATAACTTTTCACTTTGTCTCGTATACTACATCTATTTCATTGTCAACAAATTCATTTCTCTCCGGCTATTCTAAATAATACGTAGCGTCGTCCTGTGCACTGTGCATAATAATCGAAAAAAAGAAGAAAGAAAAAAAGGAACGAAAAAATAGTATTCGGTTACGTTAGCAATGAAACACAGGAAATAAGCTCTCGACGTACATTTTGTATCGAATGCTTTTATAAAAAATGAATATATGCATTTTGTGTTGATCTATTTATCTTGTATGTATTCTGCGAATAAAATTCGACCAATCTCCTAGATTTGACAAATGTATTCAAAACTTTTTTTCGAAAACCCAATGAAATATCGTGCTTTACTAAAGGAATGACGATATTATTTATATATTTTTCAACAATTCTTTTCAAGATTCATCGATTTAGGACACAAAAATTTGTACATTATCATTAATTATTATTACCGCATATATAAATACAAGTTTAGTCGTTGACAAATCTAAAAGGATAGAAACAAGTATATTTGAAGATGAATCCGTCGCCGAGGTTTTGGTCGCTACAGCTTATTACGAATTTACGAAGAACCTCTCGAGGGAAGCATTGCAATCTATCGAGGCTGTTTGTTGTCGCGTTACATCTGCGCGCTTTTCGCCCCAAGTAGAATTCCAAAGGCCGTTCCTGTCCCACCCTACATGGCACGCTAACACATACAAGCATATATATATAAAGATGTACACACACGATCGGTAGTGAGCGACAAAGTTGGAGGGGACTGGCAACGGGACCAGATTCACCCCAAAGTCCATTATTACTCGTGTATTGTATTGCTTAACATTGACTCAATTGCTTTCGAATAACGTGCTTGCTCTGCTCACGAGTTCTTCTCTAGCTGCCCTCGCGAGCATCAATCGAATCATTCGATTTACTGCTCTTTTCTCTCTCTCACTATCTCTCTCCGTGACTCTCTTTATTACGTTCTCATGAATTGACGTCAAAAAAAAGAAAAAAAGGGGGACAGTGGATATGCATTTTGACCTAGCTATTGAACGCGAGTCGTAACTCTTGTCATTTTGGAACATCGGTCAGTTGAAAAAAGAGAGAAAGAGATAGGGAGGTTATATCGCTATAAAAATTTGCATTAATCGTTTCAACTTTTCGAAAAGTTCCACGGCGCCAGTTGTCCACTTTTATTTCTCCATATTACGAATGAATATTTTACAAATGAATGATTATATCGTTTAACTTGGCCCGCGCTTCTCTAACATCGTATACCTTACAAATATAAGGAAAGAAAGATCATAGGTATGAAAACAAAGCTTTACTCGTTCCGGCGGCAGCAGAGAAAAGTGGAAATCCCAGAACAGTAACGCGGTGTACTGTGAGAGGCAATAACCGAGGGAATCACCGACAAAGATAGAGACAGAGAGAAAGGGAGATACCTGCAAGTTGTAGGGGATGGATTAACTCGGCTGATCGAATCGTAAAATTCAAGCAAGTGGCACGGAGCAGGGGGTGGTATTCGCGAGCGAGAGAGACAGAGAGAAAGAGCAAAAGTAAACGCCCGCGCGTTGGATAGATGTGTGTTGGGTAAATGTGTGTTGGGTAGGTTTGAAACGGGGCTTTTATAGCGGTCCAGGAACGAATCCTGCCGGTCGAATGGTCGGGACTGGCCGGACAATCACAACTTGACAGGGAGGTTTAACGAGCCCTATGCTAGGCACCGCCAAGCCCATCCTACCTCGACTCTCCTACCCTCGAATGGTCATTTAATTATTCGAGATACCCCGTACGTTGGTGCTCTACGTCTGCTACACACTGTCCATAGCTTCGCACACATCCCCTTTCGCGGCTTTCGTTCTCCGAACGAACGAACGAACCAACAGGGTTACAGAGTAAAAGGGGATGGTCGTAGAGAGAAAGAGAATCAAGCGCGCAAAATATAATACCTACACACCTATATGATATTGCCCAACGTTCGTGTATGTGGAATTGCGTCCTCGTCGTTGACGTCGTCGTCGTCGTCGTCGTCGTCGTCGTCGTCGTTGTCCCACGTGTCCCGTGTTTCTATATTAAAGCGACGCGGGATGGCCACAAGATAATAAAGACATATAATGGAATCGAAATTGTTTCTCTATCTATCAATGCCATACATCGTCTCTCTCTTCGCGAGAAACGGCAAGCCGGTTCGACCGAACATTCGCGCGGCTAGAGCGACAGATTCAATTTAGTTTCGAGGGCCAGCTTTAATTTCTCCCCGTCTTGATATGCAGCCAGCTAATACGAGGAGATGATCGAGTAGAGATCAATTTCCTCCTCCTCCTCCCCGTCTCTCTCTCATTGTGCAAAAACAATTTCCCTGGATGTTCCGATTCAACGCGAAAACCGTCCTCGCGATACGAATGATCGGAGACGAATCTTTCAAAATGTTACAATTCATTCGTAGTTTTCATTGCAGACGACAATCGTGAGTTGGGTGATCATCCCGAAGACGACTTGAAGAGACAGCGAAGCAACTACAATGGCGACCAACTCTATTCGAACGTGAGTATACGAAAGGAATCAGTTTCTAGCTACGATCTTGACCCTCGATACTCGAAAACAAACATACTCGCATACCACGACGACATGCAGTACACTTACATAGACGCATTGAAACGAAAAGGAAATACTCGAGAGATCTTCTTGTACTTCTTTCTTTCCATTCTGTTCGCAGCTGTGGTCGAGTAAATGGAGCATCAAGGACGAGCACAAGCTCTTGAACGAGCTCGGCGGAGGAGGCGGTGGTGGCGGAGGTGGCGGAGGCGGTGGAGGAGGTGGCGGCGGCGGAGGAGGCGGCGGTGGCGGTGGTGCCAACGGTACGACGAACGCGGGTGGAGGAGGAGGTGGTGGCGGAGGTGGCGGAGGTGCAGGAGCCGGTGGTGCCTACTACGAACACGCTGGATTCCCCGGGAACGCGATTGCCACCTCCGCCGAGCTCTACGACTCCCTGGGCACCATCAGTACGATGACGCAGGCGCAAACACCGCATCTCTATACCCCGCCCATAGGGGGCACCATAGGTGAGAGAGAAAGCAAATCTACCCTCTCTATTACTATCTATCTCTCTCTCTCTCTCTCTCTCTCTCTCTCGCTCGCTCTCGCTCTCTCTTTCTCTATATCTTTGTTTCTCTTCATCTCTCTCTCTCTCTCTCTCTCTCTCTCTCTCTTTCTCCCTGTATCACCCTCCCGCTTCGTTGGACCAACCCTCGTAAGCCACGAAATCCTGAATAGTGTGTACACCGCAACCCCTTATACGTGTATATAATACGTTTCTACGCCATGAACCCACTTCATCCCCTCTCTGATTCTCCTTTAGGTACTCTTTCTCCTTTACCATATCCAACACCTATATACGTTGATCGCAGTCCTCTTGCTCCGACTACGATTCCACCTTCCCCTCCTCCTTCTCCTCTCATTCCCCGTACGCTTATTATTGCGGCTTACGTCTTGCTTTGCATACCCATATCGGCTAAATACATGGCTTTAATAATGCATGAGCTGTGCCGAGGAACAGTGGCAACGGCCGAAGAGGTGGCGGAAGGCTTCACTCGGTGGTTCTTTTGGAATTTTCAGCCTTCGACGAATTTATCTTTTTCTATTTCTATCCTTCTTTCTTTCTCTCTCTGTCTCATTCTTTCGCTCTTTGCTCCCAGCTTCTACAAAAAGTACTTTTTCTTATTAGACTATTCTCTCTTTCTCCATCCCCTTGACTCATCATTCTAAGTATCATCCCTGTCCGAAACACCACGTGCAAATTCTCTAGCCATCTTTTTCTCTTTAGTTCTGTTTAAACACGAAGATCGATCAACGGCGGAACGTATATATGTATGTAGTTATTTGTTTCCCTATGTTGTAACCCTTGACATGGGAATTGATATCGCGAGATTTTTGTTTAATTTGTTTGTTTAAAAAACAACAGCAACGTGTTGCAAGTAGCACGGTCAGAACGCGTTGCTACTGATACCGATGCCTCCGCGGAATGGACGAAGCGAGCCGTGTAACGGTCGGTTCATCTCATGAAATTCAATGGGGGAATCTTTTTACGGATTTGCGAAGAATTTTCTTGAAAAAAGCTGGCCAAGTCTTAAATGACTCGTCGTCGTCGTTGATAAAGATTACGGTTGGAAAGAGGGTTAAAAAATGACGAATTAGGTTTAATATCTGATAAAGATAAATCAATAATAACGTTCCGCTTTGATCGATCGATCGATCGTAAACGATAGGTGAATTGGAATAACGGAAAAATGGGGATCCCTTGATATAGCAGGTGGTACATTGACGCCGCTCGCGCCACTGACGATGCAAGCATTGGACGGGGCTAACATGTCTCCTTACCACGCCACCGGTGAGTTCGCCACCTCTTTAGTTCTTTTACGGTTCTCGCCTGAGCTCGTGTACGCTCCTAAGTACGCTGAGCCCTAAGGTATATTATTATCATTTCAAGCCTGGACACCTTGGTTTTTCCAATACGTTCAAGTTCTTTCGATGTACGCGCGATATCGCTATAACGTTACAATCCCGTTCTCCTCCTCGTCATCCTCGATGTTCTTCCGCGAATACCTAACTACTACTTTAATACCTATATCCTTGAATACCTAAACGTCTAATTATCCAGTCCACGATCGAATCCCAAAGCGATTCCCGAGGAATAAACTCACATCGGTTGAAATAAGCTTTAGACGTAAGGCGCTGATCGTTAGCTAGTGCTTGACTCGAATGTCGTGTTGTGTTGTGCATGGCCATAGCAGAGAGCGGTACCGTCGCAGTCTCGTACGTAGGGGTTGGGGCCGGCGGGGGCGAGCAGAGTCCCCCGATTTCCTTGCAGAACGAGACGAACGCCACCCCCGCGGCCCCCAACACCCCGGGAGGGGATCCCGGACTCACGGTCTTGCAGCCGCCAGTTTCTCAACCTCAGGTAGCCTCTGCAATACCACCCTACTCGACGATGCTTCCAAGTTTCGGACATTACGCCACCGGTGAGTATACGAACGAATGTGCGGCGAACGAGACCGTTGACCTTCGGGTAAAAGACCCTCCGAAGGTCGATTCACGTGACCGCGACGCGTCTCGTCGGAGGGTAAGTCAACGATCATGGTTAACGTGATCTCCGACTTACCGACCGACCAACCAACCGACCAACCAACCGACCAACCAAACAATCAACCGACCGAACTACCGCGAATTTCAACCCTTCCGACGAAAAGTCGATAACGCGTCTCTTAAACCTTCTTTCCACGGATGGTAATTCCGTTTCAAAGTTAATAGCATCCCTTAACTATCGATTCAAGAAAATCTTTTCTTCGCAACGAAATCGCTTTCACATTTGCAAAACTAGATACATAGTAAACGCTTATGGCTGTTTTAACACGACACACATCTTTTTTTTTACATCCGCGATATAACACTATTGTTTAACTGTTGTTACCTGTTGTAATAAATGTGTGCATAGATCGTGAATTCGTTCTTTTGTTTGAAAGTGTTCGATAAACTACGCAACTCGTCGTTTATGATTAAAAATATTTACGGAACGTTCTAATTTTGAATATAGAATATTTCAGCTAAATTAATATTCGAATTGGCGTGTCTGTTCAGGTGGTGGCGACTACGCGTACAGCGCAGCGTATTCTCAATATTCGAGTGCACCGTACAGTGGATATGGCTATGGAGCAGCGACAAGCGGGTTGCTCAGTAAGTAAACAGTGAGTATGAGTACCGATTAGCATAGGGTCAACGAAATACCAACAATTAATACGTTCGTAGGTCTATGCGAAAGATTTTTTCATGAATACGAATTAAAGACAAACGAGAGGGTTGCATCAGAGTTTTTCCGGTCATTTTTTATATTCGAACGTTACAAAACTTGTTATCGGTTATGGAATCTTGATTCGTACGTTGATAATTTGTTTTTTAACGTTGATTCGAATATCCTAAAAATATATAATCTCGTTAGAGTTTCGGTGACGCGGCTAGCAGTACTGTGATTCGAAATAGAAATGCATGCAGGGAGCGTCTCTTAAAATCGTACAATATCAATAGTTTTGAAGGAAAAATTTAATAATAATAATTGTCTAGGATTTGAAGGGACGCTCGCTGTAAATAATAGAAGATAATACATAATTATTTTATTGTAAATAAACAGATTCGACGTACTACTACTGCAACGGGGATACGCTGGCGTCTTCCCAGAACAATACGCAAGCGGGCGGAGCGTGCAACAATGGTGGTAGTGGGGCGGAAAGCACCACTGACGTGGCTAGTCGTTCGCCATTGGCTGCTACCAGAGCGAGTAGCGGGGCGAGTGCAGCATCACCTACCGGAAGCGCTTGCACCAAGCCGGATCATGCCTCCACACCGACCGACCTATACTTGGCTTGATCGGTAAAAGCGTCACGTGATTCCTCACTCTGAAAAACCGATCGCGGATAAAACGGACGCCATATCATTCAGAAAACTCTAAAAAAAACCGTCTTACCGACTTATGATCTCCTGTTGAGTTTTCACGCTGAGAATATGACGAAGGCAGGAGGGAGGATTAGAATGGAGAAAGGATTAAATGAAGGGAAAGAAGAGGAGGAGCTGAGCAAACAAATGAAAAATCCTTCCCTTTCTCGTATCCTTGCCTCTTTCGTTCTCGTTTCTTCTCATTCAACAAATCCGGCCGAAAATAATAAAAAGAAACGCGTTCGAGCCAAGAGGTTCGAAAACAAGGACCGTCTCTTACATTAGTAGTTTATTTATTTGGTGATACGAAGAGGAAAGCAATTTTGGAAAAAGAAAAGAAAAAAAAAGTTTATCGAACTGCGAGGAGAGACTGTCTTCTAACGCGGAAGAAACGAGAGGAAGCAAAAGAAGAAGGAAGATCAGGAAAAGAGAAAAAGACCTTCCCGCACAGCGTTAGAGATTTTCTTCGTTAGGACGCGCGCAGCCGCTAGATAGTTTAATTTAACGATCCTCGTTTATAGCGTAATTATCGAAAGACGCGCGACGCACGCTGATCGGTCGACTCGATGCTCGTTACCGCTACAATTTTCCCGCTCGAAGAAATTCGTATTTGAAAATTTCCCTCGAACATTTGGCCGACCAATCAGCGATTCCGATAGCCGGAGCGTGGCGTCGCGCGTGCACGCATACGACGCGTTGCTCGCGAGCGCTGATCCTCGTACCACCTGTCCCTGGGTTCACAAACTACGTCTGGAAAGGTACAATGAGGAAATTATTCTCGGGAGTAACCTCTCGTATGGAAATTTTACGAACGCAATTCGAATGGTGTCCTTATTCGATTTCTAATCGAATGAGATAAAAAGAAAACAAGAAAAAAAAGGAAAAAAAAACATATTTAAAATGACGATAAAAGCAAGAGATAATAGGTATGAAATGTTAAACAAAAAAAAAAAGGAAAATGAATACGGACACCATTTAATCGAAAAGTATACCTATGTAAGCAAGGAAGATAAAAAAAAGCGTTGGTAGCCCGCGCGAGAAATACCACCTCCCCTTATTACTCCTTATCAGCCCGTTCCATAAAATCCTTAAAAATTCAAATCCCTTCCCTTCCCTTACCTAAGGATATAAAGGTATAGCAGAGAGTAATCGATAAGTTTATTGAGATTTTTAAATCAGAAGTCGACGTAACGCGCGATCGCTACTGTTAAGGATATTATATATATTTTTTGTAGAAACCAAAGACCACACGCGGATCGTCGAAAGTAATAAGGAGTGAGTGAACGTCGTCGTTTAAAAACAAAAAATGGCAATGTTTTTACGCCGTCGCGCGCTCATGTCAGTCGGAGACATTTTTCAAAATCGTGCGACTCTATATATATATATTCTATGATGTTCTCTCTCGTGTTCTTTTTTCCTGTTTTTTTTTTTTTTTCAAGACATGTACATAAGCGTATTCACGTGCATACGTTTCCCGCCTCGAGTAATGCACAGGATATATCGGCAGATTTTAATTTCTTTTTAATTTCCATGTCCAAATTAGAAGAAGAAGAGTCTAATTAACGCGTTAATATTATTTTGTATGTTATTGTGGGATAGTGCACCTCAATTCATTCGTGCACCTCAAGGCATTCGTGAGGAAGTTGACCTGGATAACTGAAGGATTAGAGCAGTCGCCCGGAAAGCGGAAGACCCGGTCCAGTCAGATCCAACGGCCTAACTTTTTCACGAATCCTACATTATTGTTATTCCGTAGAAAATATAACCCGAAAAAGCTGGCGGAACGAAAGCGCTAACTCGCGATGTCGAAGAAATATTTCCTTTTCTCTTTTTTTATTAAGCCACCGATAAATTTATTTTCGAGAACGAATGTCTAATTGCAATATAAAAAAAAAAAAAGGAAAGAATGTCAGATCGTTATCTCTATGTAAATAATTTTAATTAATAATAATTGCACGTGTATATGTATATATATATATATATACATATATATCTACATATATATATATATGTATGTATATATAATATACATATATATTATATATATATACGTACGTACGTATTCGTTGCGCTCGTTGTTACACGTTCCGTTTCGATTACTTTTAAAACGAGGAAGTCGCTTGTCGCTTCCGCGGTTTCGTTGGCCGGTAACGAGCGAGCCAATTACGGAACACTCGTAATTAATGGCTAACGTTAACGAAGGAAGAGATCGCATGCGTACCTTACGTACAGGTAACCCCGATATAACACGGTCGTTAGGTTCCTCAAAAATCCTCTGTTTTGCGAATTCGAGTCATACGAAAACAAGAGTTTATATCAAAAATAAGTTTTCCTTCCAAACGTAATATATAATATTTTATTGAAATAATTAGGTACTCGCTGGGGCAGAATTTATAATGCGCGGTATCGAGGTCATTAATTTCCCTAACTCTCGATCTATCTTACAATTAGTATGAAAACATATTGTAGAAATTCCGTGTTATAAAAGAGGTTTCCTGTAAATGTCTACGTTCGTACATTGCTATGATTAATTAGTATAAAAAGTTGAGAGTTTTCCTCGAAATTCAGGACGCATCTTTGACGAATCTAACACGAAAAAACATATCTTAATGATTAACACCCATACCCCCACAGCAATTCTACAAGTTCGATCTTCGATCGATACAAATTTATCAATTTATTTGATATCGAATTTTAGATAAAGGCTTACCCAACGAATCGAAGATCTAAACTTGTTTCAAATTTTCGCCATGATAATCCAAATAATCGACGAAGATGTTATCATCATTATGAGGTTCCGCTCATACACCAAAAATACACCAAAAAATACACAAAACTTAAAAAACATTTTCGACAAAACAGTTCTTTCCTCCACTCGTTTCGAAATACGAACGTGTACGTACGATAACGAACATCATTTCTTTTATTGTTATTTCTTATTCGACTATTTGTTCTTTGTTTATTAAAAAGACACCTTCGTTTAATCGGCGAATCGTGCTTTCTTACGTTCATTTTTTTTTTCTTTTATCTTCTGTCACATTTATTTGTCAACGACGATAACGATCATTAATTACGAACAAATTGTTAAGCGAAACGAACATTTTTTTTCCTGTCGTCGTTGATTCGACGTTTCAAGAGAAAGAAACAAAGTTTCCTGGTCGATAACGAGGAGGGAAACGTTGGGTTGTTACCGATCGAAAAGGGCCGCTTTTATTCTACCATAGGACAAAAAGAGAAAACGGTACCAGTGGCGGTCCCTGTCGAGAGCGTCTTACATTCATTCATTCAGACATAAGATCACGTCCCTAAGTATGTATTTTTCAATTGTTAATTCATTCATTATTATATTGTAATAATTATTGATTATTAATATTATTATGATTATTATTATTATTATTATATTGTAATAATTATTGATTATTATTATTATTATTATTATTACTATTATTATTCTTTTTATTTTCTATACTTTCATTTTATTGTCTCTCACAATTATTACAATATTCTTCTTCTTATTATTATTTCTATTTTACAATATTATTATATTAATATTATTATTATTACTTTTATTATTACGATATTATCATCATCATCATCGTCACATCATTTTATTATTATTATTATTATTATTTAATGCCTTTATTATTTATTAATTATAACGTCGACCTATGTGTAATAAGTTTTGCCAAAGAATCCGTTTAGAAAAAAACATACAAGAAAGAAGAGATTTAACAAGAAGAAAAGAAAGTAGCTATATCTGTTGTATATATCGCGGTAACGTTTGCATTTGCATCCATGCGATGGAAGCGAATGGAAACAGGACACGATATTTTTTGGAAAATAACGATATATGAGTCGATAGGATATAGAAAGAGAGAAAAAAAAGATTAAAGAAACGGAAGTAGAAAGGAAGAAAGGTATAGCGTAGAAGAGAAGGAAAAAAGAAGAAGAAATAACGAAGGAGAAGAAAAAGAAGAAGAAGAAGAATAGAAACGCGAGATAATCAATTCTCACGAGCACCGACAAGCAAATCGAAATTGTGAATTTACAAGAATTATTTGAATTTCGATTTGATTGTCGTTGCTTTTCTACGTTCGTCAAGCACTCTCATCCACCCCACCCATCATTCCTATCGTCATTGCCACCCCCTTTCGATCCAGCTACTTCGGGAAGGATCTGCCTAATTTTTCTTTTTTTTTTCATTTTTATGTTTCTTTTTATATTATGTATTTTTGGTTCAATCAAACTAAATCCTTTTTCATTCTTTTTTACTTTCCTCATCCTACTCATAATTATTGCGAAAGGAAGAAAAAAAGAAAGAACGGACGAACGAGCGAACGAACGAACGAACGAACGTACGTATTAAATAACGAATGGAACAAAAGAACTATTGAAAGAGAATGAAATGATTTCTGTAAATTCTTTTTAAATAAATACTGAGAGAGGTTTATACGATGGCCTGCTTCGCCGTTCCCATCTCCGTACGTGATCGATTTTCCAAATTGAAGTCGCCTTCGCGCGTGCGAAGGAGTAACGAGAATGATCGAGCAATGAGAGAACTCTATGATAAACTTTTAATAAAAATTACAAGAGAGAGGTAGAGAGAAAGAGAGTGAGAGAGAGAGAGAGAGAAAGTACGATGTTATCCTTGCGTCGAAGACGATCCTTATCTCGATAAATGCGTTCCAATTTAGCTTGTAAAGAGAGCGAGAAATAAATACTCACACATCATGTAATTGTGTGGATTTTACAATATCACTTCTTGTCAGATATGCAATAACCAACGTGCTAATCATTTTTTTTTTCTTTTCTTTTCTTTTCTATTTATCCCTACTTTTCTTTATTTTGTTTATTTTTTATCTATTTATTATCGAGTTAAACAAAAATGTACAAAGAGAAACGCGCGAAAGCTCGGATCTGTCTCTTCTGATACCTGTAAGTATCGCATGAATCATTTAAATTAGAATTCATTTGAAATACGTTTGAAATTCCTTAGGATATCAACGACAGACATTTTCTAAAACTGTCAACGTTACACAAAATATATTTTTTTTCTAATTTATATTAACAGTTTTGTATATTCGAACGTGTGTACCATCGATTCGATTCGAACATTTGTACTTAATAATTAACCCTTTGCACTCGAAACGATTTTCCGCATATTTGGTAGATTTCTTACAGCTATCTTGAAATGACCTATTATTTCGTAAGTTGCCCGGTTTATGAGCGGTGACCGAGAGTACTTACTCCCGAGGGCAAAGGGTTAATAGATGCATACATACATAAATATATATACCGATGGATATATTTCTTACAACAAGCTTCATAACAATTAATACTAGTATTAAGTTCGTTAATGAATGAACGAACGCGAACACATTATTATCAATGTTTCATCTTATTTATTGTAAATGTAACTCTCTGCACCGCCTCTTCCGAAACCTGAAATGAAATGATTAACGTTAATCAAGATCAAAGGATGAACGAATAGATCGATCGATTTAATATTTATTGTTTTCCATTTTGTTCGGATATAAGAAAAGATTCATATTGTGTTTCATAAAATTGAATGTATTTTATATTTACTTTATGTCTCTTTATTGCAGTAATTCTATTTTATTTATTAACAAATAGTTATTTACCTCCTGGACCGAAAAGGGCCGAATAACAAGGATGATTGCAGTAAGGTTTACCCTCGTGTTCCGCGTGACTACCAGGTGTCAACGTCTTGTTACATTTCTCACATCTTAGACACGAACTATGCCAATCTTTACCCAAAAAGGTCTTCCGTTCGGCTATGGAAAAAAAAATAAAAATGACAAAAAATCAAAGTTAACAAGTATAATAAGAATCGAGAAAGCCCTACGTTGATTCGATTAAGAAACCCTTCGGTGTGTTCGATTGAGAAACCCTTTAGCTTTGAGAGCGACGAAAAGGAATTAATTGGAAACGCATCGAATTATATAGTAACATGTTAATTTGCTACAATATTAAAAAATTTCTAGACATTTCATCGATTTCATTCTATTCGCCAATAAATTTTCAATAATTTTCAACGTTTCAAATTCACGAGTATCCATCGAACGATAATTTGGATTATCGCTAGAGCTTAAGTAGGTCAAAAGACAATAGAGTTGGAGTTAGGAAAGAATACCGAGAGAAAGGAAAAAGAAAAAAAGAGAAAGAAAATATTCTACCGTAAAACCGACATATCTGCATCTGTTAGCATTCATCATTCATCCAACTATTTACGTATCCTTTCCTTTCGCGTGAAAAAACGAAGTGCGAAATAAAGAGGAGAGAAAAGCTGGAAAACGGGAAACGTCGACGCGACTAGCGGAAACGAGAGAAGAGAATAAGAAAAGAAAAAGGTGTAGAAAAGAAGAAAAGGAAAGCGTCGCGACGCGCGTTCCCTCGTGTGCTTCCGTGCCTTCGATCAAAATGGAAAGATCGGAGAAGTTACAAGAGAAAGAGAGAGAGAATTTCTTCCATTAGCAATTTCGTAATTATCAAATTGAATACCCCGTTCCCGATGGGGAACGATCGTCATCGAATTGCTCGTAGCATTGATTAAAGGCGCGAGAACGAAATTGTGCCCTCACAAAAATCTCTATCTCCGATGTGCAAGAAAAAGAGATAGAGAGAGAGATACCATCTCGAAGAGCATTTCATTCAGCCGAGGTCTTTCGTACTAACCCTTCGCCCGTATTATGTTTTCCGAGTACGTTCAATTCCCACGTGCGTGGGCGAGCAAGATCCTTCGAGTTAGAGAATAAGAGAGAGAGAGAGAAAGAAAGATACTTAATGAAAACGTCTATTTACGCGTTTTTACGTATCCGTCGATCGTTAAAAAGGAGA